AGCCTGTGTTGCATCTGCGTTAGCCTGTGTAGCATCTGCGTTAGTATGTGTAGCATCTGCATTAGCCTGTGTTGCATCTGCGTTAGCCTGTGTTGCATCTGCATTAGCCTGTGTAGCATCTGCATTAGCCTGTGTAGCATCTACATTAGTATGTGTAGCATCTGCATTAGCCTGTGTAGCATCTGCATTAGCCTGTGTTGCATCTGCGTTAGCCTGTGTAGCATCTGCATTAGCCTGTGTAGCATCTGCATTAGTATGTGTAGCATCTGCATTAGCCTGTGTAGCATCTGCATTAGCCTGTGTAGCATCTGCATTAGTATGTGTAGCATCTGCATTAGCCTGTGTAGCATCTGCGTTAGCCTGTGTAGCATCTGCATTAGCCTGTGTAGCATCTGCATTAGCCTGTGTAGCATCTGCATTAGCCTGTGTAGCATCTGCATTAGCCTGTGTAGCATCTGCATTAGCCTGTGTAGCATCTGCATTAGCCTGTGTTGCATCTGCATTAGCCTGTGTAGCATCTACATTAGCCTGTGTTGCATCTACATTAGCCTGTGTTGCATCTGCATTAGCCTGTGTAGCATCTGCATTAGCCTGTGTTGCATCTGCGTTAGCCTGTGTTGCATCTGCGTTAGCCTGTGTAGCATCTGCATTAGCCTGTGTTGCATCTGCGTTAGCCTGTGTAGCATCTGCATTAGCCTGTGTAGCATCTGCATTAGCCTGTGTTGCATCTGCATTAGCCTGTGTTGCATCTGCATTAGCCTGTGTAGCATCTGCATTAGCCTGTGTTGCATCTGCGTTAGCCTGTGTAGCATCTGCATTAGCCTGTGTTGCATCTGCGTTAGCCTGTGTAGCATCTGCATTAGCCTGTGTAGCATCTGCATTAGCCTGTGTTGCATCTGCGTTAGCCTGTGTTGCATCTGCGTTAGCCTGTGTTGCATCTGCATTAGCCTGTGTTGCATCTGCATTAGCCTGTGTAGCATCTGCATTAGCCTGTGTAGCATCTGCATTAGCCTGTGTAGCATCTGCATTAGCCTGTGTTGCATCTGCATTAGCCTGTGTTGCATCTGCATTAGCCTGTGTAGCATCTGCATTAGCCTGTGTAGCATCTGCATTAGCCTGTGTAGCATCTGCATTAGCCTGTGTAGCATCTGCATTAGCCTGTGTTGCATCTGCATTAGCCTGTGTTGCATCTGCGTTAGCCTGTGTAGCATCTGCGTTAGTATGTGTAGCATCTGCATTAGCCTGTGTAGCATCTGCATTAGCCTGTGTAGCATCTGCATTAGCCTGTGTAGCATCTGCATTAGCCTGTGTAGCATCTGCATTAGCCTGTGTAGCATCTGCATTAGCCTGTGTAGCATCTGCATTAGTATGTGTAGCATCTGCATTAGCCTGTGTAGCATCTGCATTAGCCTGTGTTGCATCTGCATTAGTATGTGTAGCATCTGCATTAGCCTGTGTAGCATCTGCGTTAGCCTGTGTTGCATCTGCATTAGCCTGTGTTGCATCTGCGTTAGCCTGTGTTGCATCTGCGTTAGCCTGTGTAGCATCTGTTTAGCATCTGAATTAGCCTTCGTAGCATCTGCTTTTATGGTGCTTTCAGACCGGATCATGCGTTGCTTCGACTTTCAATGCAAAGTCTAAGGTGACGAGCGTTCGAGCGTCGCAACGCACGGACCTCTCGGCACGCACAGACTGTTCAGTAGACACACACAGACTGTTCAGTAGACACACACGGACTGTTCAGTAGACACACACGGACTGTTCAGTAGACACACACAGACTGTTCAGTAGACACACACGGACTGTTCAGTAGACACACACAGACTGTTCAGTAGACACACACAGACTGTTCAGTAGACACACACGGACTGTTCAGTAGACACACACAGACTGTTCAGTAGACACACACAGACTGTTCAGTAGACACACACAGACTGTTCAGTAGACACACACGGACTGTTCAGTAGACACACACAGACTGTTCAGTAGACACACACGGACTGTTCAGTAGACACACACAGACTGTTCAGTAGACACACACAGACTGTTCAGTAGACACACACAGACTGTTCAGTAGACACACACGGACTGTTCAGTAGACACACACAGACTGTTCAGTAGACACACACAGACTGTTCAGTAGACACACACGGACTGTTCAGTAGACACACACGGACTGTTCAGTAGACACACACAGACTGTTCAGTAGACACACACAGACTGTTCAGTAGACACACACAGACTGTTCAGTAGACACACACAGACTGTTCAGTAGACACACACGGACTGTTCAGTAGACACACACAGACTGTTCTGTAGACACACACGGACTGTTCAGTAGACACGCACAGACTGTTCAGTAGACACACACGGACTGTTCAGTAGACACACACAGACTGTTCAGTAGACACACACAGACTGTTCAGTAGACACACACAGACTGTTCAGTAGACACACACGGACTGTTCAGTAGACACACACGGACTGTTCTGTAGACACA